CCCCCCCCCCCCCCCCCCCCCCCATCACCGAGCACGGAAACCACCTCAGACCTTTCGAGTCAAATATCAACTGCATTCCAATCTAGAGTCTCCAATGATGGCCGCCCAACACTCGACTTTCTGAATTTACATCGACGAACGAGAAACCCTCATCTCTTACGGGTTAGTCTAGCGCGATATCGAACGAAGGGTTATTCTTCGGCGGACTTAACCCTTTCAGACTATCGGAATATACTTTTTTTTGCATTTTTGAACTCTTTTTCTATTTTCTATAGATTTAATATATCATACCATATATTGTAGTATATACACATGCAATTACAAAACTAAAGATAACAAAACTGACGAGTGGGAGAAGGCCTCCGACGGAACCGAGTCACGCAAAATCGAGTCCATTGCAGCGTAATGGCCACAAATTCCCATAGAAACGGCGAAAATGCAACGTCCATCGGGGTCTGAAAGGGTGAAAAAAAATCGACAAGGCACCGAGCACCAGAAAAATTTCAACTCTGGTGAAAAAAAAAAAGAATTAAATTTAAACTACTTACGTTTGCAATTTTAACGAGCTCGAATCCTGAAAAACGGACATCTGAAACGTCTCACAAAACTCCATATTTCTTCGTAGTAAATTTTTGATAGGTGGAAGCGCGATCCGTGCACCATCCACGTGGGACCCACGTGCTTCCCACGTGGGACGGGGGGGCGGGGGGCAGGGGGGCAGGGGGGCAGGGCTCGACACATCGTGATGCAATCGATGACTTCATCCAACGTTCGTTTCCGGCCGTTCCGCGAACGTCGCGCCGTCGGGACCCGTTCTCGTTCAGCCTCGACGATCTCCATCGAGATAAGCATGAGATAAGCACGCATCGACTCCGACCGTTTCGGTCTCTCGTCCGACGTCGTCGCAAATAAAAGAGGAATTTCGGACGCACGCTTGGGATAGGTCGCCCCCCTTCGACCCTCGGCCGAGTCCGATCGGGTTCGGCAGCCGAGACGAAAGCGAGCGAGGGCATCCACGAGTGTCGGCGTGGAACCGCCTTCGTGGAACCGCCTTCGATGGTTCGCTCTCGTCTTCGACGAGGGTGGAGACGGTGCCACGCCGTGACATCCCTCGTGGCATCCCTCCGCGAGCCCACCGACCTGCAAACCTTTTTTTCTACGCCGATCGCGAAGAAACTCGAGACTCGACCTTTTTAGATGATGAGATCGGCGGAAGATCCAGGCGACAACTGCCTCGCCATCATCCCTTATCACCCCTTACCATCCCTTATCACCCCTGAACACTTTTTAACTAGTCAGATCTCGGGGCCTCCCCGTAGAGATCCATGACTCGTCAAGCAGATCAGATCAGGTTTTCCCACGCTTAACGACCCTTTTCTTCTCCCCTTCCCCCCCCCCCCCCCCCCCTTCCCTCATCCCACCACGAACATGTTGTGAGTCTGCCCTTGCGACAGATCCAAGCGTTTCCGCCTTTCGCCAAAATTTCCCAAGTCGTCACCTGGAAATCTGTGAGCCCCGGGGGCAACCAGGAAAAAAACCCGACGATAGACGCGGATATGTGGGGCTCAGAGACCATTTTCTAAAGGTTCTCAGGCACCCCCCCCCC